TTATTATTAAGTAGGTTTTAAAACAAACAGAATAAAAATAATTTGTTGTCAAACGAGTCAGTTCTGTTGGTTTTGAATGTAGCACCAGTACTCAAAACTCACTGGTCCAGTTTTATAAAAGCTTTCAGAACCTGATCTTATTCTCTTCACTTATGCTTGTATTACTTTGCAATATTCTATTATTTAACATTATGTGCCATTATATTTTTTATAAGACATAATATAATKTTATCTGACATTATATAATCAAACTAGGCTTTAAGTGTTTTTCTTCTGTTCATTTCCTCAAACAGTTTGGTAATATTTAGTACATAAAGACAGTATTTGACCCTTTAAAGCTGACTGGTGTGTTGGTAATATAATTATTGACTGTTTTGGACCTGATGTGAACGTTTTGTGAGCCAATGGGGAAAGTTTTGGTATTCTCTGCTGTGAACTTAGGATCTGATTTACTGAAAACGTAACAAAAGCGCAGCGAATGTCTCTTTAAATGTCTTTAAACGTCTCTTAACTTCACGTAAACCACCTTTAAAATCAGCAGCAGCTGTGCTCCTGTGCAGTCTGCACACGTGACCGGCTGCAGGGTGGTCCASACTACCTGCTGCCCCACACACCGTTACGTAACGCTCTTACCTAACCACCCAGAAAGAAACCAGGCCAGCCTGTGTTGGAAAACGGGAAGCAGTCACGGCAGGTTGCCTGGTTCTGGTTAAAGTCTGATCTGGTCTCTGAAGCTGGTTGGGTCCACATTATTCTGCACAAACAGAGCGTCTCCTGCAGGTTAAAACTGAAGGTAGATGTGTTTCAAAAAGGTACCCGCAAAATTTTWAAATATTGATTTGTGCACCCGTGGGGGAAAAAATTGTAACTTGTATTTAAAATTTCCACCTGCAGTTCGTAACACTTTTGACACAGATATCCCACCTGGGTCTGTCTCAAAGCTGATTTGAACTGTAGAAGTGGGGGTGTTGCTACAGCAGGGTTTTTGAAATCACAGGGGTGGCTGTGGTGTAGTGGTAGACCAGTCGACTCGGGACCAGAAAGTCACAGGTTCGACTCCCCCACCATGCCCACATGTCGTGGTGTCTTGAGCCAGACTCCAACCTTGTAACGTCACCAAAACTAGTTGGTATGACAGAATAATTACAACCTTCTTGATGTTCCTGATAACTCCTCTACATTGTCCTGAGATGTATCCCTGCGAGTTTGCAACTTTGACTTCCTGTTTACTACACATGTGTAACGTCAACCATCCATCCATTTCCTTCCGCCTATC